TAGTCAACTACATCATATCAAACAAAAAGTATATCAAGTAATAGAATAAATACATCAAATAATAAAAACATAAATAATATATAGAAAATAAATAATATACTTAGCAATTCATATGCTCAACAATGTCAGCTAGCAAACTAATAAAAAATTAGATAAATTATACTTAACCATTAGATTGTAACCTACTTGTGAACATTTATTCTATCAGCTTGTCTATAAACTCAATTCAGGTATCACTTGGCTCAACATACCTAATCAAATCTTATTCATCAGTACCTTTTGCTTGGCTACTGCTAACTTTACCGGCATCACTTTCAATAAGATCAATTAACATTTCAGATTTAATAAAATTATGGAGAAGGCAACAAGCAAAAATAATTATACACTGTTTTCATTGGATAAAATGATTTCTTCTTTAAAATTGCCCATCTAACTTTTAATATTCCAAAATATCTCTCAATACAATTTCTTATGTAAGAGTGTTTCATATTGAAGTATCCTTGAAATGTCGTAGGTTGGTGTCTTGTACTCCAATCATCAAATGATATCATTGACCTCTATAAGGTGCCAAAAACCTTTTTGATGTATGTATCCAGCATCGCACAAATAGTAAAAATTTAATATAATGTTACAATGCATTAATATTCATTTAAAATGTGTTCCATAGCATAACTTAAACCAAAACATGAAAGTTAATACCTTGTGGGATCTTTTAACCATTTTTACATGTAATGGCATCCTTGAGTACTGTGACATTTATTGCAAAATCTTTTCATCCTGGTAAAATATAAATGAATTGCATTTTCGATGTATAAACACCATGAACATTTGTAGCAATTTCATTTTTCCTAGACCTTTACCTAGGTTTGTTAATTGAGTCTACATTTGCCCTTATATAAGTTTCATCTAAGACACACAAACAACCATAAACCCAAAAGTTTTGATTAATACATTCATATACATTATAGAAAATTAGGATTTAATATTTATTATTGTTATTACAAGTAATGATTAATGTATTATCTTGAATCATTTCTATCTATTATCTGTTAAATTCTTTGATATTAGTTATGGTTTCTTAAACAATAAGGAATGCAATCTCAAAATAGATTTCAACACATCATAAAATTACCTATTACTTGTCTCTTTAAATTTGGTTACTTGACGTTTCATAATCCTATTTTTCGTATAGTGGGCGATAATATGAAGGAAGCTAATAACTATTTCTTCTATTATCATATTTCTAGATACTTTTAATCTTCCTTGTTTTTGAAACAATAGACATTATTTTGCAAAAACTCTCTTGTCCATTCTACAATTATCAATGCTCTATATATTACTTTCAATGTTTAAGTCTAATTACCTAATATGAAGTCTATCAAGAGTTTCATCAACATATAAGAGATTCTACATCTATTTCTAAGCTTCCTAGCAACTAATGCCGCGATATATAAGCAACAGTTGAAACATACTTTTATCTGCTGTATTTACAAAATAAGCACTATTACCAATTACATCTTTTTTTTTATTGATAAACAAGTCATAACTATTTATAAAAAATACTTTTGTTAATGTTAGAAACATGTGTCGAAAGTAACAATGTACATTTAATAGATCAAGATCTAAGTCACATCCAACAAATAACAAATAGTAAGAATACATTTAAGTAGATAAAAATTTAAGCCATATTGAACAAATAATAAATAGAAAAAACACATTTAATAGATCAAAAACATTTAAATCAAGATCTAAGCCACATTTAAGAAACAATTTGAACACATTTGAGGCAAACAAATAATACAAAAAATAGACAACCTAAACCTGGTCATAGAAAACCAAGAGTAAATTAACTAGATAATGATAAAGATAAGTTAAACTGAAGCAAATAAAGATGAAATCCCAACGAGTGAAGGTGATGTTGTATGAAACAAAAAAGTTGCAGGGTTTGACTAGAGCTTTGGGTTTATATATAAGAGAATAATTATATAACATTAAATAGGAGAACAAAGATAGATATATAAATTATTACATCTCTAAAAAAAAATGTTGTTGATATCAAAAAATATAAATCTATTTTGTCATTATTTTCTACTATCAATTACGTTTTATATGTAAAAAAAAAAAAAAAAAAAAACAATAGCATTGCTATGTGATAACTGATCAATTACTACATTTTATCAATTATTATGTTTCCATAATAAGAAATGTTGTTGATATCTAAAAATGTAAATTTATTTTGTTATTATTTTATACTATCAAATATGTTTTATATGTAAAAAAATGTCACTAATCAATTATCACATTTTATCAATTGCTACGTTTCCACCATAAGAAACGTTGTTAATATCGAAAAATATAAAATTTTATTTTATTTTATTGCCTATGATCAACTACATTTTATATGTAAAAAAATGTGATCATTGCCAGGTGATCATTTATCATGATTTATATGTTTTCGAAAAAATTAATTCAAAATAAAAAATTTATTCATTCTATATTTCCAACAACTACTATGTTTTTATATAAAAAAGTTACTTTTTATTAATTATTACGTTGTCATACTAAGAAACATTATGAATATTAAAAATATAAAATTTATTTTGTTATTATTTTTTTTCATTCAACTACATTTTATATGTAAAAAAGGTAGCGTTTTGAAAACTATAAAAATTCAAAATTAAAAATTTTCTAACAACTATTACATTTTTCTTTTAAAAACTTTGGTTTTGTTATAATTAATTTTTTCATAATATATTATAATCAATAACTACGTTTTTAATATAACTAACATTGTGTAAATGAAAATTTTTTAATTTATTTTAATTTTATTTTATATAAGATCAATTACATTTATGATTATAAAGCGCTATATTTTTTAAACTTTATCAGTTGAAAATAAATATTTAAATTTATAAAAATTTAATTACACATAATCATTGTTAAGTGTCTAATCATGTAGCTTGGAATGTAGTTTCGTATGCTAAAATGGGTATTGATTTATCGTGCAATTATTATATATTTAAAGGTAAAATAGACAATAAAAAAATGTTATTGAGAGTAAAAGTGGAATAAATTTTACATGCCATAAAAATTGTATAAAACCTTAAAGAAATAAAGCTTTTTTATTCAAAGTTATCACTCACCTTTATTAATACTGTTGAAAATCTTACAAAACCTTACGAACTAAATTCCATAAACTAAACTAAGCAAAATTCTAGTCAATAATCTTACTTTTCTCTAATCAAATGCCTCCTAAAGAGGAACTGAAGAGAGCCAAAAGAAAGCACATAAAAACCAAGTTTAAAAGAAAAATTTTTTTTAAAAAAAAGTAGCAAGGCATTTATTGACATTAACTATTTTTTTTTTACCCGTGCTATGCACGAAATTTTTTATTATATTTTTATAATTTAAAATTTTAATTTATATTAATTTTATATTATATATAGATAAATAAAAATACTAGTAATCATCTATAATTTGTAGTGTAAAATTACAACAGTAATGTATGCATAAATTATTATAAAAGAATCCAAATAAGTATTGCGAAAACTTTGAATTATGAAAGTAAAATTACATACAAACCTTAATGAAAAAGTCAATCTCTAGTTCACACTTACACACACTCTTAAATGTATATATTATTTTAGTATGAAAACTAATATTTATACATGTGATATATCATGAAAGACTTTCATATTTGATTTTGAAATGTTATTATACCGAACTTTTGTGACAAATATCTAATTGCTCTATCTTTTATAAAAAAAAAATCGATTGTGAGAAAAAATCATAATTATATATTTGATAATTATTTAATTTTAAAAAATTCTAAATTTTTAAAAATGTAGTTTATTTAAGTTTAATTTTAAATTAAGATAAAAATGTTAGTATAATTTTAAATATAGATATATGTGTAATTTTAAATTGAGATAAAATATCTTTTTTTTTTTAAAATCATAGAAACATAAAGACAAAAAAATTATGAAATAACAGTGATTCAACCATAAATTTTATTTTTTAAAAAATTTATGTGATTATTGATTTATATGATGTGTGATTTTTTATAATTACTAAGATTTAAGAATTTAACCTTTAAAAACTATTTGAAATTTTTATTACATATAAATTAGTAAGATTAAGATATGAGATATTTTTTTGAACTTAAATTATGATAAAATTTATATATTTTGAAAGATTTTGATAAATATAAATTTTGAAACTTTAAAATTTTTAAAAATTACATAATTTTTAAAATTATCTTACTAGTCAATAATATAAATTATTTATTTAAATGTCTATGTAAATAAATTTTATTTTTTTAAATATTATAATATAATATTATATATGATATATGATATATGATGTAAGAAAGAAAAAGATAAGATGGGAATGTTACTACTAAACTAATTTGAATAAATATTAGTCATGAATCAGAGCCAATTCGCGTCACTAATTCTTCCACCAGAGTTAATGTCAAGCAAGAAAATGGTAGGCCGGCGCCCCATGTGTTTTTCCCTCCAGCTAGTTAAGGCGTCGGCTACTTTTGGAAGCCCTCTTTACTCGAAAGAGGTTTCACATCAAAATAGGAAAGTATGCGGTGGAGCAAATGCCACAAAATCAATATCAATATGACTAGCACTACGTATCAATCTCTCAAATTAGACGAAAGCGATTAGAAGCGAGTGATCCATCCATTTGATCATGAAAAATGAAAAAATCATTTAATTGACTCCTTTAAAAAATTAATTGAAATCGATGGGATATATTATAAAAATAAAAAATTAATGAATTAAGTTATTTTATTTAATTAATTATTATCAAAATCGAATTAATGAAATTAATTTAATAAAATTCAGTTTATTTGACTTGTCCTTACCTTACTTTACCCCTGAAAAGTTACCTTATTCTCACGAATATTTTCTTCCTTTCTTTCACATAAATTATTTGTGTTGGAAAATAAAAAAAAAAAATATGAAAATAGACTCACGGTAAATGATTAAAGCAGCAATTATATATAAAAATCCTACATAATTAATCATTAGCATAAGAATCAGTCAATCACTTGTTACTATACAGCTGGATCGATTTTTATTATAGCATATCAATGCTCTTTGATTTAAGTGACCGCTTTTGGCAGCCTTTTTCTTCCCCACATCAAACCCGGATAATAACTGTCTTACAATTTTTCTTGTTAACATAGCAGCTTCCATCTGTTTTTTTGCAAATTCTAATGCTTGTCCTATACATGATAATCAAGTCACAACAACCAGACCTGTTTATTTATTAGTTATTATTGCTGCTGCTTGTTGGCGCACGAACAGTTTGCACGGTTCTCCGACAGTGTCTGAAAATATTGAAACAAGGAAATTAGGAAAACAAGATGAATGAATCTAAAGGGAAAAAGGGTTTTTGACAAAATAAAAGAACTACAATTTTGGGTTGTTGGGTTTTCATTCAAGAGGTCACTACAACATACCTTGACCTCTTTTTGGAGTTCTTTGATATAATCAACAGCCAAATCTAGCATGTCGGCAGTGCTTGTTTGCTGCAAAAATTGAAAGAAAACGTGGGTTTTCCAATGATTTCATATTCCAGGACGCAATTCCAAATCAAGAATTTGTACCTTATCCATGTTCGGAACAAGGTCTTGTAGCTTCCTCATGCGTTCGCTTATTTTGGTTCTTCTCACCTGAATAGATACGAACTTAAGGGGTTTAAAGATCATAAGGTTTCCTACTTTCAGCAACACAGTCGTTAATTTGCATGTAATGACAAACTATATATATATATATATATATATATATATATTTATATATATCTGAACATAGTAAAATTTTTTGCCAAGGAACCTATAGCTTAATTATGTTAGTTCATTTAACTATCTTTGAGAAATGACATATAAACTTTGGGTTCAAATCTGAATCCTTGCAATTCCTTATCCTATTCTCATTCTCAGGTCTTTGCGGAAAAAAAAAAAAAAACCAAACTCTTGTGCCAAGGATTAAGTTCTGTCTTTTACTCAGAGTGGAGGCTAGGAGGGGCGTCAGTTGCTTGTCTAACGAATGCGATACATGGGAAAAGAAAAGATGTCTAAGATAAATATTACCCTCTCAGCAATGCTTCTAGGGTGAGTGGCACAACCTCTCTTGGCCCGGATCTTACAAGGTATTGAATCCTGATACTGCAAGAACTTGTCAATGGCAGACATATCTGGTGAACTCTTTGGTAAACTCAAGTGATGAGCCAAAAGTGGAGGCGGATGGTTTCCGGCATCTATGTTCTGTTACAGTTGACAACAAAAAATGACCATTAGCTCAGAACATCAATGATATAAGAAATGCCACATTGTATTAAATGAATGGTACTACCTGAGTTTCTACTCCATCAAACTCTAAGCCAGAAAGTGATCCATCGTCTTCGCTGAGTCCTTTTACGCCTGACATGTTATCTGAAATCATCGTGGAGTTGTCCCAAGAAGTAACTGGAAACCTTGAGGAATAATTTTTATGACGATTTTCACCAAATCCAACATTTTCTGAGCTATTTTTTGGACCCACGTTTTCGTTCCCCAGCTCGGCAATTGGACTCATCAGCCCAGAAGGAGGTGGCCTGCTTGCAGAAGGAAATGCTGCTTCTTTGTTACTGCTAATATTAACGCTTCCATAATCTCCCATTCCTCTCATCACACCATAGCCTGTAACTTTATAAGACGTCAGTGTCATTCCCAGCTTTTACAAGTAAGAAATATCTCCCTAAATTCCGAAGGCTATTGGCAAAAAAAAAAAAAAAAAAAAAACCACTGATCACAAAATTATGATAGAAGATTAGAAGGTAATCAACCTAATCCATGGTGTCAAATCAGAAATATTTAACTTGGTAATCATATTAACCACATCCTCAAAAAGAGCAAAGAAAATGGTGGTTGAATCTCTTTGATTTTTAGTATTGAATATTGATTTACTCATAGCTGCTTCATTTCATTGGTCCAGTACAAACTCAGTCAAATTGTTTACAAAAGCGCCAATTACGAGCTCATGTCATTAAAAGAAACTTTTTCGCTAATTCTTTCTTTTTTTAAAATGAAATTCCAGTGGTCATTGGAAGGCAACAGAGAGAAAGAAAAACCAAAATATTTTAAAAAGAAGATCTGTATGTGCTTACTATTTTCAATGTTTATATTGGAGAATAACCCTGCAGGGGAACTGCTGTGCCGAATAAGATTGGTATTATTGCCACTGCTCATTTTCATTTGGGTTGGTCGCGCCATCCCCGTTGAATTTGGAATCCTGTAATCCATAGTTGAACCCGATTGCTGATTTGACAAATGCCGTTGAGGTTGGCTTTGATAAAAATTCTGTGAAGCAGAGGAATAGTTCCCCCGCTGCTGCTGTTGTTGTTGCTGCATAACCCCTGTTTGATTAATCATTGGTGTCATAATCTGCGTTCGCTGCTCAATTTTTGCAGCTGTTTCTCTAACAGGCGAATTATGCGTTACGGGGCAAAGATTCTGGTTTGAAATGTTCTCTGTATTACCACCACCGCCGCCACCAGCATCCCCACTACCTGACAAAAATCGTGCGATAATTCGTTCTGTTTCGGGACTTGTTGGCCGGTTTAGAAACTCTTGGCAGAAATCTCTGTCCAAGATGTTTGAAAAATACGAACTGGGTGCAGATTGGTACCTCATCAAGCCAGAGTTCATCTGTTTTTGATGGTTTTGAGGTTGATGATAATCCAGAAGATGGTGATGGTGATGTTGAAGATCTGACTCCATTTCCCTTTTCAATTCTCCTTCAGAAAATACCCGAGACTCGAAGGATTCAAAACCCAAATTAAGTAATTTTTTGTCAGGTTTTCAATCAGATCAAGATTGAATATCAAAAGCCTAGGACCCACTATTTTCTCAGAACCAAAGTCTCTGTTTGTTTCCCAAGAAAGTAACTCCAGAAAAAAATTTCCTTAGAAAGCTTCATCTAATTTAACTAAGTGATCACCCAGAATATCATCTAATTTACATGGATCTCTTAAGAACCTCAAAGTTGAATCCAAAGAATTTGCTTGCCTTAAAACTCAAGTAATATCACTGCTCAACTATCAAAGCAGCTCCAAAAGCAGAGGAAAACAGAGAAAAAACAGAGAACCAGAAAAGAGATTCCACCACAGGTCTTCACCACAAACAGCCCTTAAAAATCAAATCTGAAAGAAACCCAATTTCTATTCTTGAAACCAGTGCACTAAGCTGAAGAAGATAACATTAATGAGAAAAGAAAAAAAAAAAAAGTGAGCCACTCAATGAAAGGAATATCCTGGATCAGAACAGTACAAAAACAGAACAAGAACAAAAATATAATCACCACCCTACCTCTCTGTCTCTCCACTTTCTATCGACGCTTTTTTCTCTTGACATGTGTTTCAGGGCTGACAGAGATAGTGCCGTTGTTGATGCAAGCTAATGAAGGGAGAGAGAGACAATTTCTTTCCAAGTTTTGTAGGCTCAGCCAATGGGAAGTAACAGTGGCCAGAAATGTAGTTCCTCAGATTTAGCATGTTTCATTTATCTAATTTTGTTGACAGTAATGCCCTTTCTTTTTGTTTATTGTTAAAAGGGAGCTTTAATTTAAAGACGAACAATTTTTGGGCTGATCGTTTCAAACTCATTTGATTGGGGGGGTAACCCCAACAAAGAGGAACTTAGATGAGTCCTATTTTTAGAAGAAAGTCATGATTTTTCTGAATGTGAATACCCCACAAATAAAATTGACTTATTATCCTTGTTGGACCACAATTTCACATTTTTGCATTTGAATGGAATGTGAAAGCATTTAGGAAATATTAAGCTTGAACTTCATTTCATTTAGAGAATGGTTGAGAGAGGAAAAACATAAAAAAATATTTTTTTTAGGTATTGGTCAAGTAATTAAAGAACAATTGATACCCATGATCTCAAGTTCAACATCATTTTGCTTCTATGTATCGTAATATAATTAAAAAGAAAAGAAAACTCCTTTGATTTGAACATCTTTTTTTTTTTCTATGTTTTTCGTGTTTCATAGTGGTTGAACTCTGTTTTTTAAATAAAAAGAACCTTTTTTTGTTTTAATAAAAAGAACTATTTTAATATATGATTGGAAATCTATTACTGGAGTTCAGACCACTTGCTTAAGTATATATACAATTTTACATCTTATCTCTAGTCAACCATTCTACTTAATTCTCTTCCTATTATGGAAAATGCAGCATTTTTGTCTCCATTATTTTTTTTATATTTAAGATGGTGAGAAATTTAATTTTGATCAATAAAACTAACAGTTCAACAATGGATCAAAAGGTTACAAGTTGTTGGCCCAAATATTTTGTTACAATCTATTATTTATCTCTCTGGATATGGTAAAAATATTGGCTAAATTTTATGCATTGTATTTAAGAATAAGTTTACTTGTCTTTATTTGGTAGGTTTTATTCTATAAATTATCCAATGAAATTTTACCACATCATAAGAAAAATAAGAACAAAAGTATAGGATGAAATGACCTTATTCAAATTGGAGTTTAATTCAATTAGTACATATAATTGCATTTAAAAAATAGTATCTAAAAGGTTTGGGATTTAAACCATAACACATACAATCTCTTTTTCTATTCTTAGATTTCGATCTCCTTTGATAAAAAAAAAATGATCCTACTCTTTATGGCTACCCCTTGTTCTTCCTTATAATATTTGATCAATTAGACATGCAGATTTGGATTTTATCCAATGACAAAAAAAGAGAAAACTATTGACCATGAGATTGAAACAATGCAACCGATTTGTTTAGTCCTAAAGAAATGAAGTGCAATCAGTTGATATACACTTGAAGACATTTTCTGTTACAATATTAGGCTTATGATTAAAAAATCAGCTCAAATCCTCTTTCTTAAAAATTATAAGAGACTTACATGTGTGGATAATTTCGTCATTTAAGATATTACCATCAAATAATTAAATGATAGCTTTAATGGTTAATATACTTTTTTATTAGCAATTCACGTTTTTAGGATCTACAATCAATGACGAATCTCATAAATGTGAACAATGATGAAACCTTCAACAATGAGAAGTTGAGATTACAATTTCAAGATCTCGAAGTTTAAATTTTGAAGTGAAAAAAAAGGTGACTTCATGAAGTTACTTCTTATTATGTAAGTCAATATTAAATTGATTCCCATATGTAAAATAAATAAGAAATACACTTCTAAATTCATAATTAACAACATGCAGTTTACCCATTTTCCTTTTTATACTTAGAAGGTGCATAGGTAACGAGGATATGTGAACCTTAGATCTCAATCCATTAAGCCGAACAGATTTTTTTTTTTTTTTTTGTGGAGATGCAAAATTTTGTTTTATAATCCCATGAACGAATTAGCTACCTTGAAAATAAATGTAGAACAGTTGTTCCGCTGTTTTACCTTTGGACGTGGGGAGCACTTTTGAAATAAAATTTTAAATGCATCGAATTTATATAAAAAAAATTTCCTTAAAATTGTTATAAGGAAGGAATTAGCTCAGTAAACTCGAGCAAAATTTGAAGATATTCTAATCATGGTAAAAAAAAAGTAAGAATTATATTAAAAAGTAATAAAGTAAAAATAACAAAGAATTAAAACCAAACTCCCGTTGAGCTCTCCTCTTATGGGTGAAGTTATTAATGCCATTTAAAATATTTTAAAACAAAGGCGCAAGGTATTAACTATTATAACAATTATATTATACCAATGATTCTTTTTTTTCAACCATTACTCTTGCTTTGCAACTATACTTTTTCATCTATATTTTTTTTCATCAAATCTAAAAAATTTAACTACACTTCACCCACCATAATAAAGGAAAAAAAACAATGTAGGCGTTTCCCTTCATTGCCTAACCCTACAGATAATCAGGCCATATGCAGAGATATATTTTTTAATAATAAAAAAATTATTGTCCTAAATATTTGAGTCTGATATCCAACATAGCATTGGTTGTATTTTTTTGGAGAATAGAAAATAGAAGTAAACAGAATTAAATGGGAGTGGAGTTCATTGTTGTTAAACTTGTTTATGCAAACAAGAAGTATGTGGAGCAAAGCGATTTAAATATTTATGTTTTTGGATCTCATTGAGCTAGCATTGGATTCTGAACCATTTGAGATTCCTTGTTCTTTTACCACAATCAAGTTAATCAAGAACTTATCAAAACAAAACAAAAAAAAAAAAAAAAGAAGTTAGTCAGGCACTCAAATTTTTGGGGTGATCAAGGGCAAATATGACATTTCATCTGCTTGTAAACAAAAATACAAATAAATAAAAAAATTTCTTCCTTCACGTTTGAAGAAAAAAGACAAAAATCTTTAAACAATTTTTTGATGAAATTGACGCACAATTCTTTTAAAAAAATAATTGGATTTATTTTTCACACGATGCTTTTTAAAATTAGACATGATAATTAGTGCATTCTTAGCATAAAAAATATTAATAATTCGTATATTTATATAATTTTTTTAAAAAATTACATATTATATTTTATTTTAATATAAAAATATAAAATATATTTTTTCAATTTTTCAAAATTATATATAATTATATTAAAATTTTAAATCGTGTGACATTTATATTTTTTTCATATCATATTATTGTACTGTATTTTAAATTATTAAATTTATTTAAAATAAATAGGAGTAATTTCTTTTGCTCTTCAATGAGGGACCATTTGGAGCCACGCGGCCATATATAGATTAAAGAGAGGGACTAAGAATTAATTTAATGAGATCTAGACATACTATCCCTTAAATAATTATTTAAGAAAAAGGATAGTTTTGTTATTTAAAAACCTTTGATTAAGGGAGAAATAGTATTATTGTTTGTTTTTTGTTGTGCCTTGCTTTGAATCAAGTTTTTGCGTTCTTGGATGGCAATCCCATAAACAACAATTTTGGCAAAACTTAAAATTAAAGGCAAGATAGGGATGACACTCACTACTTTTGATTGCAATATAAATTACTATAAACAAATAAGCTATGCTTTAGATCACAACTTATATATTTAATTAGATTTGATTAGATATATCTTCATAAAGTGTCATCTTTATACCATAACTTATTCCTAATCAGGACGCCGTCATATACTTGGTTTCATATTCATTTATACAACTTAGATTCAGCTATTTCTTAAAAAAATGATGGGAAAAAAACAAAAATATCATCAACTTTAGTATGAGATTTCACACACGAATTACAAGCAGTTAAACTAGTTTAATTTTGTATCCATTCAATCTATTGCAATCAATTCCTATCACCATATAAAAATATGGTTTTTGTTCAAATACTTTAATTGTGAAGCAAAAGTCAAATAATATTTGATATTGTTATCAATAGTTCTGTGATTTGTTAATAAAATGTTAAACATTCAGTTTTATTAATCAAAATTTAATCTTTGATCATTTTAATTATAAAAAATTAATATTGTAAAATCCATTAACGATTTTGTAATATTGCTGATAGTTCATTATAGATAAAATGATGGTTACTAAGTGCATTTTAAAGAACATCATATAAAATTGAAACATACATCATGGAGAAAGGAGCTTTTGGGAATTTGAAGAGATTAACCTAAAAGATAGAAGATCTACCCCTTTTATAAAAGTTATTATAGAATTAGTATCTTCAACATCATTGCGATTGTTGTTACTTTTCTAATAAAAAGAACATTTATAGCATAAAAGAAAATTTTGAAAATGTAAAGCTTAATTTAGTTGTCATATAAATATTTTTTAAAAAATAATATTCAAAAAGTCTGAAATTCAAATATCAACATTTATAATTTTTTTTTAATTTTTAGATTACAACTTCTTTTATTAAAAAATAAAAGAAAAGTTCTAATCGAAACCTAATGAGATAGTTATTTAATTCTAGCAACATGCTTTCTTAGCTTAATTACCAATCTTCCTCATTGTCACTCCATTGTTTAATTTGTTCAATTGTCAAAGTCCAAAAGAAATTAATGGTGGTGATATTATTATTATTTTAATTTTGTTTGTAAACTATTAGAATCTCTAAAAGTGATTGAAACTCCATTTTGTTTTGTTTTAGATCTTGTTTAATGTGATTCAAGTCACTAAATGACAAACCTCATTGAGTGGAGAGAAAGCAGTATATAATATTTTTGTAGATTTGCAGATAATGTTGCATTATCAAAGGAGCATTGTCCAAATGATGTGAAGAGAAAGACATTTTTATTTTATTTTATTTCTCATTAATTCATTTCGTGCCATGTGACAAAATTTAGGGCCCGCCATTAGCAAAAATCATTTCATTTGCATTCATTTGAAAATTTCAACCCTAACCCAAGGGAAAAAAAATGAGAAATGATTAGAACGACGTCGTTTTCATGGTGCATCACACACGGCACTTTGTAAAAAGTGTTCTCATCTATCACGGAAAGTTCCAAAATTCAATCACTTGGAATCCATGTGGGATAGGCAACTCAGTGGGAGGCATAAAATTGTTATGTACTGATATGAGATTAGAGAAATGTGAATATGATTAGCTAGCTACTGAGTAGGGATCCACTTAATAAAAGAAGTAATCTTAATTCACAAAGTAATGACTATTTTCATCCCTAAAAAGAATTGGAATAATTAATATTT